AGCTGCAAGGAGTGGTGAGAGGTGGGGGAGCGGGAGGCACATGGGCCGGGTGAGAGGGGCAGGACCCAGAGGGGCTTCGCCTGGTCAGGCTGTCCCCCTAGCCCAGATGCCCCTGCCCCATTCTCCTCCCCCTGTGGGAATCCTGCTCATCCCCAAGGCCCGCCCTCTGGGCAGAGTGAGCATGTTGCTTTCCCCTCATCTGGAGGACTCACTGGGTTCTGCCGCACTGGGGTGGTTTGGGGTTCTATTCTCTGCTGAAATAGGCTCCCAGAGAACAGGGACCATGTATTCTCACTTGCTGTCCCCATGTTGCTGCCACAGGCCGTGCTTGTGGCACGTGCTCAGTATGTACCTGTGACGTTGCTCATGTGCCCCCTCCCTGTCCCCAGATCTCGTGGGAGGCACCAGCTGAGAAGAAGGCTGAGTGTATCCAGAAAGGGAAGAGTAACCAGGTGGGTGCTCGCGACACTGCCGGGAGCGCCAGAGCCCCCAGTATCCCCCGCTGGCCGGGCCTTATGGCGCACGCTCTCTCCTTAGCACTCACTCCCTTGTTCCCAGTGCCGGGCTGGGTCCCGCTCGTGGTCCTTGTGTCCCCATGTCCTGGGCCCTCATCCTTTAACTAGATGCGTTTCTCTCCGCAGACGGAGTGTTTCAACTTCATCCGCTTCCTACAGCCGTACAACACATCCCACCTGTACGTCTGTGGCACCTACGCCTTCCAGCCCAAGTGCGCCTACATCGTGAGTGCTGCTTCTCGCCCCTCAGCCCCTGCCTTGCGCCCCTCTGTACCCCCGGGCCCTTCTGCATCTCAGTCTCATTGTCTCTTCCCTGCCCCAGGACATGCTCACCTTCACTTTGGAGCGCGGAGAGTTTGAGGATGGGAAGGGGAAGTGTCCGTATGACCCAGCTAAGGGCCACACTGGCCTCCTTGTGGGTGAGTGGCTGTCCCCACTGCAGGCTGGGGGAGGCCCCCAGGACTTGTTCCCACTCGGGCTTTGTGGCTAGAGTGTATCTTTGCCTCACCTCTGGCCTGGCTGACCCTCTGTCTCTCACAGACGGCGAGCTGTACTCGGCCACGCTCAACAACTTCCTGGGCACGGAGCCTGTTATCCTGCGTAACATGGGGCCCCACCACTCCATGAAGACGGAGTACCTAGCCTTCTGGCTCAATGGTGAGCCCCAAGGAGCCGGTGTGGGGCCTAGGGGAGCCGTGGGTGGGAGGCACTGTGCTGGCCCCAGTCTGCTAACCCTCCCCCCCTTCCCGTAGAACCTCACTTCGTAGGCTCAGCCTACGTTCCGGAGAGCGTGGGCAGCTTCACGGGGGACGATGACAAGGTCTACTTCTTCTTCAGTGAGCGAGCGGTGGAGTACGACTGCTACGCGGAGCAGGTGGTGGCTCGCGTAGCCCGCGTCTGCAAGGTACAGAATCCTGCGGCGGGGAGCCCTGGGAGCCTTGCTGGCCCGGCAGGGCTGACCGGCAGTGTCCCCTTGCCATCTGCCAGGGAGACATGGGGGGCGCGCGGACCCTGCAGCGGAAGTGGACCACGTTCCTGAAGGCGCGGCTGGTGTGCTCGGCCCCCGACTGGCAGCTCTACTTCAACCAGCTGCAGGCGCTGCACACCCTGCAGGACGCCTCTTGGCACAACACCACCTTCTTTGGGGTTTTTCGGGCACGATGGTGAGTTGGCCAGGAATGCTTAGGGGTAGGGAGGAGCAGGTGTGTGGATTAGGATGATTTATGGGCGCAGGCCTCGGGGAAGTCCAAGGGCTCAGTTGTCTAGAAGCCAAGGAGGATACTGGGCACCTGCCCTTTGTCAGAGCTCCCTGTGGGAAGTGAGCGGTGCCCTGTGCTCTTTAGAGCTGCCCTTACGTTGCGCCTACTCATGACTGCTTTGGGCTGGGCCCTGCCTTCCCGCTGTGTGCCCTGAGCTGGGCTAAAGAGGGCACCAGGCCTGACCCATGGGGTTCTTCCCTTGCTGTGACAGGGGCGATGTGGACCTGTCAGCAGTCTGCGAGTACCAGTTAGAAGAGATCCAGAGGGTGTTTGAGGGTCCCTACAAGGAGTACCGTGAGCAGGCCCAGAAGTGGGCCCGCTACACCGACCCAGTACCCACCCCACGGCCCGGCTCGGTGAGTCCTTGGGGCAGGGCTGCGCTCCTGCCCTCAGCTCTGGTGCCATTCCCACCGGGCTGACAGCTCTCCGTCCACCTCAACCCCCCAGTGCATCAGCAACTGGCACCGGCGGCACGGCTACACCAGTTCTCTGGAGCTGCCCGACAACACCCTCAACTTCATCAAGAAGCACCCACTGATGGAGGAGCAGGTGGGGCCTCGGTGGGGCCGGCCCCTACTCGTGAAGAAGGACACCAACTTCACTCACCTCGTAGCTGACCGCGTCACGGGGCTTGACGGAGCCACGTATACAGTGCTGTTCATTGGCACAGGTGGGCACGTGGGTGTGTGGGCATGGCTGCTGGAGGCTGGGTGAAGGCCTGTGTGCCCAGGGCAGGGAGATCTGGAGATGCCCCAGGGCCCTCGTGCCCTCTCATTTACACCTGTCCTTCCCCAACCCCCACAGGTGACGGCTGGTTGCTCAAGGCCGTGAGCCTGGGGCCCTGGGTCCACCTGATCGAGGAGCTGCAGGTGTTTGACCAGGAGCCTGTGGAAAGCCTGGTCCTATCCCGGAGCAAGGTAGTACTCGGGCCCCACCCACCACTGTCCCTACGCCTTCCCCCGTCTGGTGCTTGCCCAGTATAGGGGTGGGAGGCAGGAGCACACCTTGCTGAGCCTGGGGCCAGTTCCAGGAAACAGAGTGCTGACGGAATCTGCGCTCGCGGGCGTTATATATAGTCAGGTCCCCGCGGGGCTGCGTTCCCAGAATTGGCGCTTGGCAGCTGCTCTCCACGATCTCTTCAGACCCCTCGAGGTTGTGCTGTGCCTCTGCTCCGTACGGCCTCTTCTCTGAGGGTGCCACCGTTGGCTGGGCCGCGGGCTGTGCTTGTTCACAATGCCTTCGTGATGTCGGCTTTCCTACCAGCCCCCCACTGCCCTCCAGTCCCGCCCCTCCGCTGCCTTCCCTGTCTCTCTGGATCCGCAGGGATCTGGTGGGGATCTGGTGAGATGCAGTGCTGCTTACGTCTTACCCTCGTGCAGTATTCTCTTCTGGCCTGTTTGTGGCACCCCTGAACTTTCACGTGCTTGCCTTTTACCAACTACTATGGCTCAAATTGTTCCCCAGAAAAGGGAATCATGGCAGAAGGAAGGTCTGTGGTTGAAGAAACACACAGATTGGCAATCGCCATTCAAACAGGAAAACACCTTGTGCTACACTGATGCTATTGTGAGGGCTGACGGGCCTTGCGGAAAACGGACTTCCTGCACTATTTATACTGCATTGGAGTCGTGTGTGTGTGTGTGTGTCTGTGTGTCTGTGAGCGTGATTATACTTCTCGGCCTCACAGGTCTGCCGTTCCTTTCTAATAAGGTCACGTCGATAAGGTGCTTAGGATTGCGTCTGGCTTGTAGTAAGCCCTCCATGCCTTCCTTGGTCCTTAGATTTCCCTCCTCGGGATGGTAGCACTGCCCTCTTCCTCCTCTTGGCACTGTCTGCCCTTGTGCTTCCCAGCTGCCCCTGGGCTGTGTCCTGGCCTGGCTGACCCTCCCTCCTGTGCTCCTTTGGCAGAAGCTGCTCTTTACGGGCTCCCGCTCTCAGCTGGTTCAGCTGCCCCTGGCCGACTGCATGAAGTACCGCTCCTGTGCAGACTGCGTCCTCGCTCGGGACCCCTACTGTGCCTGGAGTGTCAACACCAGCCGCTGTGTGGCCGTGGGTGGCCACTCTGGGTGAGTGGGGTTCTGCAGGGCTGGGACCAGCAGGGGTGGGCAGGGTGGTTGGAGCCAGGATGCTGATGGACCCTGCTTCCCCCACCAGATCCCTGCTGATCCAGCATGTGACAGTCTCAGACACCTCGGGCATCTGTAACCTCCGTGGCAATAAGAAAGGTGAGCTGTCTTTTTTGTCCCCGTCCCAGTGGCATGGGCCCTGGGTTTCCTGTACTGACTCTGCTCTCTCTTCTCTCTCTGCCGCTGCAGTCAGGCTCACGCCCAAAAACATCACGGTGGTGGCGGGCACAGACCTAGTGTTGCCCTGCCGCCTCTCTTCCAACCTCGCCCACGCCCGCTGGACCTTTGGGGGCCGAGACCTGCCTGCGGAACAGCCCGGCTCCTTCCTTTATGATGCCCGACTACAGGCCTTGGTCGTGATGGCCGCCCAGCCCCGCCACGCCGGGGCCTACCACTGCTTTTCGGAGGAGCAGGGGGCACGGCTGGCTGCTGAAGGCTACCTGGTGGCTGTGGTGGCAGGCCCGTCAGTGACCCTGGAGGCCCGGGCACCCCTGGAAAACCTCGGGCTGGTGTGGCTGGCTGTGGTGGCCCTGGGGGCCGTGTGCCTGGTGCTGCTGCTGCTGGTTTTGTCACTGCGCCGGCGGCTGCGGGAGGAGCTGGAGAAAGGTGCCAAGGCGGCAGAGAGGACCCTGGTGTACCCTCTGGAGCTGCCCAAGGAGCCCACCAGTTCCCCCTTCCGGCCTGGCCCCGAGACAGATGAGAAACTCTGGGATCCTGTCGGCTACTACTACTCTGACGGCTCCCTCAAGATCGTGCCTGGGCACGCCCGGTGCCAGCCCGGGGGTGGGCCCCCTTCTCCGCCTCCTGGCATCCCCGGCCAGCCCCTGCCTTCTCCAACCCGGCTTCACCTGGGGGGTGGGCGGAACTCAAATGCCAACGGTTATGTGCGCTTACAACTGGGGGGGGAGGACCGGGGAGGGCTCGGGCACCCCCTGCCAGAGCTCGCTGATGAGTTGAGGCGCAAACTGCAGCAGCGCCAGCCACTGCCGGACTCCAACCCCGAGGAGTCCTCGGTATGAGGGGAGCCCCCACCGCGGCGGCGGGCGCAGCGTGGGAGGTGCACCTCCTGCTTTTGCACAGGCACCAGCTACCTCAGGGACATGGCGCGGGCACCTGCTCTGCCTGGGACAGACCCTGCCCGGCACCCGCCCGGCCATGAGGACCTGCTCTGCTCAGCACGGGCACTGCCACTTGGTGTGGCTCACCAGGGCACCAGCCTCACAGAAGGCATCTTCCTCCTCTCCGTGAGGGGCTGTGAATCACGGACACACGGGACCCCAGCAGCGAAAACTTTTCAAGGCAGAAGTTGGAGATGTGGGTGTGTTTGTGTATGTGTGTGTGTGTGTCTGTGTGTATGTGACATAGTCTTCCTTTCTGTCGCATCCTCCCTTGCAGATGCGGGTGTGTTTGTGTATAGATATGTGTGCATGTATGTGAGATAGTCTTCCTTTCTGTCGAGGCTTCCCTTGGCCTGGGGTCCTCCTGGTGAGTCATTGGAGCTATGAAGGGGAAGGGGTCGTATCACTTTGCCTCTCCTACCCGCCCCTGTCCCCAGTGTGGGGCAGCGATGTACATATGGGGGTGGGCTGGGCAGGGTGCTGTGGGCCCCTTTGGGAGGAGTGCAGGGCTCTGGGGTGGGCCTAGTGCTGCTCCTAGGGCTGTGAATGTTTCAGGGTGGGGGGAGGGAGATGGAGCCTCCTGTGTGTTTGGGGGGAAGGGTGGGGGGGCCTCCCACTTGGCCCTGGGGGCCCTGGGGTTCAGTGGTATTTTATACTTGTCCTCCATTACTGGGCTGGGAAAGGTTGTGTGGGGGGAGGGGGAGGGAGGAGAGAGGGTGGGCATGCTGTGGATGTGGCACATCCTCTCCCAGCCCTAGGAGGAGGGCTCCTAACAGTGTAACTTATTGTGTCCCCGCGTATTTATTTGTTGTAAATATTTGAGTATTTTTATATTGACAAATAAAATGGAAAAAATTAAACTGTTACTGTGATGGGGATAAGACATTTGGGATAAAGCCTTCTGAGTGCCAAGAGGGAAGGCTCCCTGTGGGTTGAGGGAGGCTGGACTGGCCCCACCTCCCCATAGTCCTGGGGCAGCTGCCCCTTCTGTGGTCCCCGCCTGCCTGCACCCTTCTCCAGAGCAGGGACAACCCAGGCTCCAGTGTTTTCCCACAGTGGTGGCTGTGGGGCTGGGAACCAGACCAGGGCCACAGCCTGTTGGGAGCCAGCCTTGGCTCCTGGCCAAAGGGAGAAGTCAGGGCATTGGGAGTCAAAGCCAGAGAGGAGGAGGGGCCCGGCCTCCCAGGACTGTGGGACAGGGGAACTGGGAGTGAGGGCTGAAGGAGGGGAACTTCCTAGAAGCAGCTTAAGGTTGTGTGGATTGGCTTGTTTGAGGATGGGGCTCCCAACTAGCTTAGGGGAGGAAAGATTACTTCCAGCCTTCTAGCCTCCAGGAATGTTGGAGTCTTAAATGCTTCAGCTACGTGGGACATGGAAATTTACCCACTGCCACCCAGTGGGCACCAAGCCACTGTCCTATGGAAGGAGTGGTACAGGCCCCAGCCTGGATTCTGTACTTAGTGCCCACAGATAGAGGCAGTCCAAGTAAAGTGCCTGTGCACTTGACTGGTCTCGGGGCGCCTGCTGTGGCTGGAGGGGAGGGCTGGGACCTGCTGACTGGGTGTGCTACCTTCCCGCAAGGTCAGTAAACGTCAGCCGGAGGATGTTTTGACATACGAAGGTGGATTCAGTCAACCAGGCGCCCACTGTGGGGCTGGGGGCTTGGGCACAACCCAAGGCCCTGTCTCTGCCCTCGGGGCTTACCTATAGCTGCTCCTAGTGGCAAGTAATTTGTGGCCACCTGCCTCCCACGGATTCTCAAGAACCGGGCAGGAGGGGCGTGAGGATTTAGGGTGTCCCTGCGCCCCCCGCCCGCGGTGAGACGTCTTTCCGGGCCGGGGGTGGTGCGGGAAAGGGGGCGAAGGTCCTTGGGGCGCGCCCCGCGACTCCCTGCCCCGGGGAGCCCGGTGGGACAAGGAGAAGCGGAGGGGGGCGGAGGGTGCTGGGTTCTGGGGAGCGTTACATAAACGCTCCGGGCCGCGCCCGCCTCGTCCCCACACCCTACACGGCCGGGCCGGCCGCCCTCCCCGGAGTCCGGGCCCGGGACCCCACGGCGCGCGGCCCTCCGCTGGGCTTAGGACG